CACCAAGCTCAGAGAGCACCCAGGGCCCCACAGTTCAGTCCTGAGCTACAAATATCCTCTTCTATTGAAACCTCCAACTGTGGAGAGGTAGCTTTAGCGCCCTGCAGATACTTTTGGAAAAACAGAAAGTACTTAAAATGGCCAGTGAGAACTAAGAATATAAGCTAAAGGAATTGGAAAATGTAAGGGAACTTTTCATGAAGAACTTAAAACGGATATTTTGTTTTGTTTAAATGACTGAAACAAGTGACCGCTGTTCTGTATTTCCATCACATTCAGCCCAATCCCATCTCCTTCATATAAGGAAGAAAAAGAGGAGAGAAATATAAAAATTTCCCAAACCAGAACAAAGTGTTGGTACTGCACCTACCGTATGTAGATTTAAATTGCGCAACGTGTTCTTCAGTTTATTATAATTTTTTCCAATGGGGATCTCAGTTTTCAACCAAGGAGGAAGCCGTAACCTAAAAATCAAAGCTTATTTTGGTTCACCAAGTATCTCAGTTTGGAAATGGTGTTTTTTTCCCCTTTTTTTCTGTACCAATCCTGTTCCTGATGTGCGCATGCGCAGAGCTGCCAGGAAAGGGAATTTAAGGAACAAGGGTCAACTCGGGAGTGAAGGTACAGGTGGACGGGGAATGCCCTCTCCCATAGGGAATAAAGGAGGAGCGAAAGGGGAGTGGTGTTTGCAGGAGACGATTAGTTCGTTTAATTAGTGTGAAGATCTGTTCCTGACTTCTTGCCAAGTAATTGCTGCTACAACGTGGCGTTTAGAAGATATCGGCCTGGCAACTCTCCCAGCCTGATAAAGGTCTGTGGTTGTAATTCACCCTTGAAAGACTGTTTGCCGGAACTTTGCTGGATGCGAATGAGAGGAACTCACGTTAGCCTAAACAAAAGGGGATTTTTGTCGGGACGAGGAGCCGACTTCGTGATTTGGCGAAGCCTAGGTCAGAACAAAAAAGACCATCGATTCCAATCCCTGGGCCGAAAGGCTAACCAACAAGGCTAACCTGGGTCTGAATCGGTTAACAACAAAGGAGCCTGAAGATTTCTCCATACCTTTCTCCTTTTTGACGCTTTAAATGGCCTTTATATTCTGCCCACTTGGTTTTGTCCGAAAGTTCCCCAGATACGAAATCCTTCAAATCAGGGCCCTCTTGAAAATGTCCCATCTGGGCTTCTGGCACCGAATTCGAACTTGACATTTTCAACTGGTTTCCAAACACCTAGAGGGGAAAAAAAAAATGCCATTGCTTTGCAAACGTGACATACAAGTAATTCTCGACTTAAGACCACAATTGAGCCCAAAGGAATGCTGCTAAGTGAGATAGTTGTTAAGTGAGCTTTGCCCCCATCTTAGAACTTTTCTTGCCGCTTTAGTTAAGCGAGTAGTAACTCTGTTGTTCCAGTCCCAGATTTGTAATAGCATTGTAGAAGGTTGTGTGTATGATTTCAGTTGTACATTCATTTAGGGTCCAGTCAATATGAGGTAGATTGAAATCACCAAGAAGGATAAAAGGGTATGGGCAGGATGCAGCCCATGTTAGTAATGTATTTAGCTTGTTTACATGTTCGATGTCATAATCAGGTGCTCTGTAACATAGTAAGAATCAAATTGTGATATTTAAGGATAGTTCACAGATGATGGTCTCAGGAAGAGCAAGCTCCTGGGTAACTTGGATATTTTTTAGATGTAAGGATTTTTTATAGAAGATAGCAACACCACCTCCTCTACGAATTTCACGATCTGATCGGTAAACATGATAGTCTCTTACTGTGGTAATGGAGTCGGGGAGAGATGCATTGAGCCATGTTTCACAGACAAATATAATGTCAAAGTTAGCCATATTTAGTAGGATGAGAAATTCAGGTATTTTATTCACGAGGCTTCTTGCATTGAGTAGTTTGCATTTAAGGCCGGCAGTAGTTGGAATTGAGGTAGTTGGGGGCGTGCGTGCCTAGTCTTGGGTGATGGTGGATCGGTTGAGGTAGGGTTGTGGTTGAGGGTAAAAGCTGAGTATTGGGTTGCGTGGCTTACTTTTGATACAGTCAGCATGGTAGTCAATATACAGGTCCTTCTCTCCATTGTCTAGACGGTTTTTGAGTTCGATGCGGAGTACACGGGAGCGGGCACGTTGCTGTATGGTTAGGTCAGGGCAACAACGGAGGTTCTTATGGTTGGTGTTGGTTTTGGCGAGTGAGTTTATAGTATAAATGAATTTACGTTTGCTTGATTCATTTTTGCAAATGACTCTGCACAGGCGTGGGGTCACAGAGCTGAGTTCACAGAGTTCACAGAGTTCACAGAGTTGTGAAGTAACCCTGGCTTCCCCATTGCCTTGGCTTGCGAGTAGGTCGCAAAAGAGGATCACCCAACCCCTGGAATACGGCAACCGTCATAAGTATGAACCAATTGCTAAGCATCTGAATTTTGATCAAATGATCACAGGGATGCTGCAAAGGTCGTAAGTGTGAAAAACGATCAGAAGCCACTTTTTTTCAGTGAGGTTGTAACTTTGAACGGTCCCTAAACAAAACCGTTGTAAGTCAAGGACTACTTGTAGAGCGTTTTTCAACACCGCACAGTAGTTTTTATAAGAAAATTAGCTTTAAAAGCTTCACTCACATAATTAGAATTGATTGCCTTGCTAGTCATACCGCAATATTTCTTTTTTTCCTTAGCACCATGTCAGGGACCAACAGGTGGTCCTCGACTTACGACAGTTTGTTTAGTGACTGTGTCAGAGCGTTTGCAGCGTGACTACCATTATGAGATAACCCAGGAGCAAAACACAGCACACAGAGACTTAAGATATTTAACAGTGGTTTATATACAAGATGTCATGCCCTTGTTAGAATCAGACTCTGAGGGAGAGGAGGAACAGCCAACAGGGAGTAGAGGTGGGGCTCCAGAGGTTGTGGAGGAGCCTGGGGAAGGGCAGAGGCCGGCTGGGCAGTCTGAGGAAGAACCAGGCCCACCCCCTCTCCATCCTAGGACTTGCAGGGAGGGACGGAGAAGGAAACAACTTGGCTTACGAGAGGGGAAGCAGCCATGATCCCCCTCATTGGTTGCAGCTGGGGAGAATAGTATATAAGAGAGATGATTACAACACAGTGTTGCCAGAAGCAAAGCGTGTGTTATTCTGGGCTGAAGTTACCTTGGTTGGTGTCCTTCCAACAGGTTGTGCCTTGTTATCTCCTTGCAGTTGGTAATTACTTATCCCGGTCCATTGTGGAATTTCCTTAATTGTAGTTTGTTTTAGTTTTTAATTTCACCTCTATCTACTCATTAAGTTCAGACTGTATTGCTTTCTTTTGAAGACTACTTTTGAGTAAGTATTATCTCCAACTGAGAATTATTGAACAGTGGGGCCAAGTTGGAGGCATTAAGGACATTTATTTACGTTTTGGATTTTGTTACGTTTGTGTTACACTTAGGATCATCACCCAAGACATATACAGAAATAAACATGGTAGGCAAAATACCTGTGATGACCCAAAGGGGCGTGGCACAAAGGCCACACAGTCAGATAATCAGTAGGAGTCCCTTTATTAGCTCCAACTTTGCCCCCACTGTCCTGGTTACCTTCTGGGCTGGAGAAAAACTCACCCAGGAACAGCCTTTGACTGCAGAGAACCAAGTCCAAAACATGGTCAACAAAAACTGTAACTATAAGTCCAATCAAGGCAAGATGAGGTAATTAGTCCGGCAGGGCAGGAGCAGGAATTCCAGACTTGAAGATACAGCAGTATTTCAGCATGGTTGGGAAGATGCCAGGAACACAGATAACCAAAGTCAACACAAGATAAACTCACGTTTGTTCCCAGCAGACACCGCACTCAGCTTGCATCTCTTTTAAACTCCCTTCCCAGGTATGGCTAATGAAGAGAATCAGGGCCCTTTCCTCCACCGTAAGCCACCCAACCCACATTGTTCCCTTCTCCATTCCTCCCTGCGTGCCCTAGGATGAAGAGGGGGTGGGCTTGGGTCTCCCTCTGAACTCCCTCTCCCTTGTTCTACCTCTTCCCTGCTCTGCCCAGTCAGACTTTGCCCTTCCCCATTTTCCTCCACAGTCAAGGTTGCCACACTCCCATTCCCTGTCAGCTGTTCATCTTCCTCCTTGGATTCAGACTCTGACAGGGGCATGACAATACCTTTACAAGCAATCTTTCTTCTACAGGGAGAACTTCTGCAAATGAATGCCAGACACAAGGAGAGAAAATCACACCCTCTAAGGGCTTCCTTTATATAAACACCTCTTAAAGGGGTAGAACCCATCCCCAGTCTTAAAGGGAAATACCCATGCTATGCTGATTCATTCTTATTGCATCAGCCTATATTGCATTAGCTTCACTGCTGGTCAGCTCTTAAATCCCAAGACCTTTCAGAGTTATAGAGGCATTGAAAACAAATGTGACTTGTGACTGTTTTTCACCCTTACGACCTTTGCTGCGTCCCAAGGTCACGTGATCCCCTTTGCCAACCTACTCACAAGCAAAGTCCATGGGGGGAAGTCAGGTTCACTTAACGACCAGGTTACTAACTTATCAACTGCAGTGATTCACTTAATATCCATAACAAGGAAAGTCGTAAAATGGGGCAAAACCCCACTTAACAGAAATGTCAGGCTCAATTATGGTCGCAAGTCGAGGACTACCTGCCTTTAGCTTGCCAATGTGTGTTTGGATTTTTTCCCCCCTGCCCTGGGATCTCCTGGTGGTGCCCCATCCACCCGTAATCCAGATGAGACGCTATTACGCTTTCCAGATCAGCCCAGGTCGCCTCCTCAGGGGTGGATTTCCACCAAGGGCGACCGGACGGCCCTTCCTACCTCGCAGGGACGTTGTGCGGGCAAGGATACTGGGGCAGCCGCCGCGAAACGGGGGGAAATGGGGCAAAGAGAGAGGCTTCTCACCGGTTTGCCCTCCGCTACCAGCCTCGTGAGGCTCCTCGGGGCGAAGGCAGCGCAGGGGAGCCCGCTACCGAGCAGCCACATGTCGGTCGTCCTCTTAGCCCGGCCGCTGCCACCACGACCCCCTCCCCGTCTCCGAGCCGAAGTCCCTCAATGGGCAACCTCGGCGCTCGGCTACTTTTCCTTTCCGCCCGGCGATCAACTGATCGCGCCTGCGCGCAGGCCCTTGCTTTCCCCTTCCCCCCCCCGAGCGATGTCGTCATCAGCACGCGCCGCGCCGTTTAAAAGCGTGATGACGCAAGACGCATTTCCTTTCCTCATTCCTGTCAACGCGAATGGTGAGTCGCGCCGGTTTGTCTTTTTCCCCGGTCGGAACTTAAAGGCAGGAGAATCCGGCTCCATCCGCCAAGTCGGTCCCGCCGGGTACTTTGTAACGCTCCGGGCCAGGCCTGAACGGCATCCGCTTTCGGAGTCGGGTACTTTTCGGGTTGGCGTCCGCGCGCTTTCGGAGAGGGAGCCCCTGAGAAATAATACCCCTCCCCCCAATGGCCTGGAGAGGGACGCGCGCGCCCGGGCTTCATCTGCGCAAGCGCGACCTGCTGAACGCTCCCTTAATGGGCACGTTCTCTGATTTAGAGAGAGTCCAAAGTTGTTGTGTGAACTACGAGCAAATAATGCCTCCCCTCTAGTGTTGCTTTAACGTAGGCTAAATGCTAGGTGTAGCTCAGGCGTATCCAATCATGGCAACTTTTAAGACTTGTGGACTTCAACTCCCAGAATTCCCCAGTTTGCTGATCATAAGTGTATGCAGTAGAAATCCTTAAGAGCAGAGTTTATGCTGGCTGGAGAATTCTGGCAGTTGAAGTCCACAAGTCTTAAAGTTGCCAAATTTGGGGACCCCTGCTTAAGAGCAACGAATGGCCACTTTGGAACAGTTATACTTTATATTTTTGAGCTGTGAGATCCAAAAGCTTTTCACCACTCTCCTCTGCCTTTAATCACAGTTAATTGTTTCATCCAATCAAAGAATTATAAGTTGCTGTCCAAAAGTTAAATTAAACTTCATCTATGCATATTGTACGTTCATTGTGTGCATATTGTTTCTCCATTATTATGACAGCTTTATGTATGAAATGTGTCTTAAAGGAATGGGCAAAACCCAATTTTATTAAAATTATGTATTTTTTTCCTAGCAATTCAGTATTACCATTTTTTCTTTTTTTTATTAAGAGGGAGATCTAGGAAAACAAAAAGGTTTAAACAGTGGTTTGGGGGCTTAACATAGTAGATAGTCTTTGGAATCAATAGTCAAGAAGACTGTAGGTTGTAGGACAATTTTATAAAAATGATACTGAAATAAAAGATATTTTAAAAAAATATTGTACATTTTTTGTTATCACCTTTCTAATTTTGCAACATCAGTGTCCTTTTTTAAAAAAATGCATCGCAGTATATACATCCTGGTTATAACTATTATTCTCATAGTCATACAATATAGTCTCTCTTGACTACATAGTGTTGTACATCATATCTACTATTTTCATATTTGTACCATAATACGCTTTTACATTTATCACTCTGTACATTTTAAACTATATTCACGTACAGTCCGATAGTGGTATTGCTTGCATTGTGTATTCTTACATATTTCTATATAGCTGCATTTATTTTTATTTTTGTTAGTCTTCTTTTGTTGTTAGGTTCTAATCTGCATCTGTTGTTTAACCATTTATACAATACATCCCATGTTAAGCAGTATTCTGTATCCTCTTTGTCTTTAAGTTCTATCGTTAGCTTGTCCAATTCTGCACATTGTCATATTTTTTATTCTCATCTGTGGGTATACTTTCATTGAAATAAAAGATATTAAGCATCCACTATGCAGCTGTGCAATTTGGCTTTAAATTTTGTTTTTCAAAAGCAGCCGTGCTTTAAATGCTGTTGAAGTTTTGTTTTTTTTATTTATTTAATTTTTTACTAAACATAACAATTAAAAAAACATTTAACGAAGCAGAGTTGTTTTGACATAATTTTTGGTCATTGTTCTAGTGAAATATAATAGAATATAGATCTTATATACATTTGTACGTGTGTGTGCGTGCGCAAATGTATATACATATATATACACAGATATGTATGTATGTATATATATATCTATATACATACATACATACATACATATACACACATGCACAATATACATTTATTCATCTTTATTTACATCTTCCAACACTCTTGGTATTATTTAAGTCTCGTGATCACAGATGTCCTCTTTAACAACTCTTTTCAATCTTAACTCTTCCTTTCTGTCCCCACCGATAGTAAAATCTATTCCAAATTATATAACATTTCAGTTCATCCTTATTTTTCATCTCTAGTGTTAGCCTAGCAGTTTGCAAAGCACCATGTTTAAATGCTGTTGAAGTTTTGCTTTGTTTTTTTAAAAAGCTGAATCCCTTTCTTAACTTTCCATTTTGTCTTATTTTTGTTAATAGATTAAAAATGAAGACCATTCTTAGTAACCAAACAGTTGACATTCCTGAGAAAGGTAAGAATGTAACTAGTGACTCTCCTAATAAGACTCTTTTCTTAAAAACAAACAAATAAATAAATACACTTCTGACATTATTTGGATATTTATGTTGTCTGAGTAGTTCACTGAAGCTAATTTTACTTTTTCTTTTCCAGTCGACATTATCCTGAAAGGGCGGACAGTCACTGTCAAAGGGCCCAGAGGAACTTTGAAAAGAGACTTCAACCATATCAATGTGGAACTCTCCCTTTTGGGGAAGAAACGCAGGAAGGTGAGGTGGTTTTGAATGTTAATGCTCAGTGTTGTGTCAGGTTTCCAGATTTCCTATCGCCTCTCATATTAATTCCCAATTTATTGCGGTGATGTGTCTAGAACAGGGATCAGCAACCTTAAACACTCAGTGAGCCACAACGGTCCTAACCAGAACACACACACCCTGGTTCAATTCTGGAGCCAACTGGAAGTCCGGTTCCGCCACCATAGAGTCTCCTCCTAACATGGCGTCCTTTTTTCTTTACCTATCCTAACCGAAAGCTCTATCAATTGTGGAGCCGACCGGCGACAGGGAGCCGCAGCAGAGGGATGAAAGAGCCACATGAGGCTCCAGAGCCATAGGTTGCCTATCTCTGGTCTAGAATATGAGATTTGGAGATGTGGACTTGAAAGGTAGTGAGCAAAAATGTTGGAGATTCAACACAACCTGATAAAACAGTTGCAATGTTTATAAATCTTGTGAATCCTTGCGGTGTTGTCATAAATTCTGAAGACCTGTGATAGCTTTCATTGCATCTCAAGTGCCAGGTATATTCATTCTTGCTACTTATTTTATGTATATTTTATGGGTAATGCTGTGGTTTTCACAGACCATGTTCCTGTCTTGAGTGCATGCATATTTGTTCAGGTAGTCCTCGACTTACAACCACAATTGAGCCCAAAATTTCTGCTAAGTGGAGACGTTGGTTAAGTGAACTTTGTCCCATTTTACGACTTTCCTTGCCACAGTTAAGAATCACGGCGGTTGTTAAGTTAGTAACACTGTTGTTAAGTGAATCTGATTTTGCTTGTCAAAAGATCGCAGTAGATGATAACATGTCCCTGGGACACTGCAGCTGTCATAAATATATGCCAGTTGCCACATATTTTTATCACATATTTTTGCCACATATTAGTACCAGGGATACTAGTTGTAAGTGTGAAAAGTGGTCCTAAGTCCCTTTTTTCAGTTGTAACTTTGTCACTAAACAGACTGTTGTCACTTGAGGACTACCTGTATTATACAACTATTCTACTAAAGTTTCTGAAACTATTGGCTGCCATCCTTCATGCTGTTTATTTAGCCCATCATAGCTCAAATATAAATCAAGTTTAGAGTCACAGGATTGAACACCCAAGCTTGGAGTAGTAAAAGCACCGAAACACAGTTTAGTGGAACCTGACAGGTTCAGTGGACTTGTAGTGCATATAGAAATGGTATATCAATTAATCCATTTTAGTATGGTGGATGATTCCTGAACATTCCTTCCCAGGCATCCCTTTAATATTGACAGAACAGAATAGAATAATGGAATGAGGAATAGAATAGAGGAATGGAATGGAATAGAATTCTTTATTCGCCAAGTGTGATTGGGCACACAAGGAATTTGTCTTTGGTGCAAATGCTCTCGGTGTACAAAAAAGAAAAGATACATTTTTCAAGAGTCAATAGAGAATAGAATATAAAATGGAATAAGGAATAGAACAGAACAATGGAATGTAGAATAGAATAGAATGAAGAATAGAATATGGAATAGAATAGAAAGAAGAATAGAAAGGGAAAAAAAAGAAACAGTTGGAAGAGACCTTGGAGGTGTGTGAACTGAGTGTAAAGATAACACTGGAAAATCCTTGGAAACAATTGCTATGGTTGCAGTGGCTTGACAATGTCAGTGCGATGTCAGAAATTGCTGCCGTCCGACAGCTGGTTGGACTGATCTATTTGTGAGCTGTGCAGCAGTACTCTCGTTCTCGTGTTCAGTCTGGAAGAAGGATGTGTTGCATTTTGTGAAGCAAAGCCTTCGGTTTACTGAAATGGTTGCGTTTTGCATGGTTGACGCATGCGAGACGGCCTGCAACTGGAAATCTTTTAAGTTAACAAGCATGTATTCAGGGATGTGGTATCAAACTGACGCCCAGTGAAGGAGGCTTGCTGGAGATAGAGATTGCAGGGAACCACTCTGACCTAGACCAGGGACCTCCAAGCTCCCGGTCCATGGACCAACACCGATCCACAGCATGCCAGCAATGGGGCCACTCAAACAATCAAGCCCCCATCCATGGGATGCAGGCAGCATGTGAAACTGTTCCACCTCCGGTCCACAGAAAAACCTCTCTCCATGGAACCAGTCTCTGGTGCCCAAAAAAGTTGGGGGCTTCTGGCCTAGACCACCAATCAGAATTTGGGCAGTTGCAATTTCTCCGTCAGAGTTCAGTCACCAACAAAAGTTCTAGGAGATCTCTGTTCAACTCCCTTTTTATTTCTGTGCTTTTTGTATCTTTAAGTAGCGGAAAGAACCTTGGGAAACAATATTTGGTTGAAATTGGAATAAAGATACAATCTTAAGAATAGTTTTGATAGGTACTGTTGAGTCAAGTTGGATTCTTTGTG